ATCACTTTTATCAAACTTAAATAGAATTTTTGAAAAAGTTATGTACAAACGCTTTATGAGTTTCATCCAAGACAAAAATATTCTATATCACTCACAATATGGTTTTAGACGGCAACATTTAACGCAACATGCAATTCTTGATATAGTTAATAGGATACAGGAAAATATAGACAATAAAAAATTTACGTGTGGTATTTTTATTGATCTACAAAAAGCGTTTGATACTGTAGATCATACAATTTTATTACGTAAACTTCAATGTTATGGATTCAGAGGTATAATCTATGATTGGTTTTCATCATATTTAACAAATCGAATTCAAACTACGGAAATTGATAACAATATTTCGAACAAGGAAAGAACAATTTGTGGTGTACCACAAGGATCAGTACTTGGTCCACTACTTTTTCTTATTTATATAAACGATATTCATTACTCTTCTGACAAATTTAGTTTCCATTTGTTTGCTGATGATTCCAACTTATTATATTCAAACAAGAATCCTAAAACTCTTGAAAGCATTGTTAACACAGAACTAGAAAAAGTTTACAGATGGTTAAATGCAAATAAATTAACAATGAATACTAAAAAATCAAACTTTATTATTTTTCATCCTTATCAAAGAAATCTAAACTACCAAGTAAATATAAGAATATTTGACTGGAAGGACAAGAAATATATTTCTCTTGAACGCAAGGAATACATTAAATATTTGGGACTTTTACTAGATGAACATTTAACTTGGAAACAACATATAGATTATGTAGCATGCAAAGTAAGCAAAACAATCGGAATCATCGCCAAACTCCGACATTTTGTTCCTCTTCAGGTACTTACAAGTATCTATCGATCACTTATTTCCCCCTATCTATCCTACGCTATTACTGTTTGGGGAAATGCTTCTCAAACTAATTTAAAAAAACTCTTGGTACTTCAAAAGCGTGCTCTACGGTTAATGCATTTCGCTAATAATCGCGATCATGCCGTTCCTTTCTTCAAAAATACAAATAACTTGCCTATTAACATGTTATATGTTGAAACAGTTTCAAAATTAATGTACGACATTAGTCATAATTCAGCACCTAGAAATGTAATGGATCTCTTTACTCAAGTTGCTACTGTTCATTCCTATAATACCAAATCCTCTACTGCTGGTAATTATCAGATAAAATATTCTCGTACAAATCAACAGCATAATGCTTTCTCTAGAGTTGGTGCTAAAGTATGGAATTCTGTCCCTGAACATCTCCGCGATCTTAAAAAAAAAGATTTCACTAGTAAGATTCACACTTTACTAATCGAAATTATAAATAACGAAGATGACTATGTTGATCTCCCTATGATTTTGCAGAGAATGTCTGTTTGATCTTATTTTTAATATTTCATGGGTACGTTATTAACAGTACATCATTCATCAATCAGATCCTACACCACCTTTCAAATTCCACCGCTAATGATACATTTCTTTAATTTTTTTTTATTTTTTATTTTTTCTGCACGTATATATACAGTAAAATTGTCTGCAACTAATTGAAATTATAACTGTCTAAATTTATATTTCATGCCCGCCTCTGATTAGCTATTGCTATTTGCGGGTCATGTTATTTCTATCTTATGTATTTTATTTTATTGAATAAAATTGTATTGTATTGTATTGTATTGTTGGGTTCTAATGTAAAAGCTAAGTTAAACAACAACGATACATTTGATAGGTTTAGTTGGTTTCCAAAAATTGGGTGGAACACTCCTGCACATTCATTCAAGGTTTATGTGGACGGTAAAAGCTTCTTTGTAACTTCCGGGGAGGCCGGCGGAAATATGCTTCCTAAAATTGAAGACAGTATTAAGATTGATGGTGTAAGTACAGTGTTCGACTATAAGAAACCCTACTTTGCAGCTCTTTGCGGCGCATATATCGCAACATATCTATGTGGAATCACAAGTGGTCATCTTACTCCTAGTAATGATACTTATCCTGTGATAACAAGTATAATGAACTTTCACCTTTACTACTGCATCAGGAAGTATGTGTACAAACCTGAAAGATTAATTCCCTATATGGATATGCTGGATTCTATTAAAAAGCATATACCTGTTAAGGGTAAGTGGGTAAAGAAAAGTGATTATTATGATGTTGTATATGATTATGGACTTGATTGGGAAAAAAGTAACTGGATAAAGGGTAGGGGTGACGGTAGCAATCCTGTAAGAAATGTAACCAATTCTTCAGTTATGACTGTTAATGGGTTTCTAAAAGGAATTCGTGTACACTATGAGGAAAGAGTATCTGTTGCACTTGTTAGTAAGTCTGATTATTTAAGGTTTGTTAGTACTCAAACTAATCCGTATTTCGGACTTACAAAAACTGGCTTACTTCTATTAGGGGAATCAATTGAAGCTTACGTTTACTCTGTGTTAGGTGCACAGGCAGCTACCAGATCACCTATCACTGGAAGCTATGGAAAGTCATCTGCTACCCAGGTTAAGTTCAGCGCACTGGCAAATGATTGCGTTATTCAAGCTGATCCTGTTGTAACTCTAGGTAATATGAGAATTGCTATTAGAGACACAAATGTTGTACTTAACACAGCCGTCACCCCTGGAACTGTTCTGATTCCGTCAAGTCTCATAATTCTAAGTAAGCCTATACCTGGGTATAACAATATTCTAAAAAACGCAACAAAGGATATGAAAAGAGGAGTTAATACCGAACTCAATTATGTTGGGGTTAAGAAGGCTAATCCCCCAAAGAAACAGCATCAAGACAATACACCAGTTCATCACCTTGATACTATTGATGGAAATAAAAAGGTTCCGGGAGGTCCTACAAGAGTTAAGCCTCAGGAAGGTTCTACAAGTGCCGAGACTCAAGTTGTTCCTATCATGAAACATGATGAGTCTTCAGGAGTTAACGCTATCGCTGGAGCTGGGATTGGTGCTATAGTTGTATTTATTCTAATGAAAATTATCTTGTAAACATTATGTATGTTATAAAATGGCTCTCTATAGGGGATACAACAAAGGAGTAAATAAAGTTGATCCATCAAGTGGTAGTGTGTTTGATAAGGATGGATTTACCATGAAGGGTGACATTGAGATGGATGGTAATGAGGTGAAAGGTCTGGGTGCACCTACAGATGATACTTCTGCGACCACAAGAAAGTGGGTGGATGATGAGATCGTTAAACAGGCTGCTCTTACAATTCAACCTGCAGGGTTTACAATGACTGGGGATATTAACATGGGAGGTAATAATATAATTAATCTTGATAATCCTACTAACCCAGGTGATGCTGCCAGTAAGAGCTGGGTTGAGGGTAGCCGTGCTAGTTTACCCGGGCTTGTTCTTACAAATGACCTCAATATGTCAACAAATGAGATAAAGGCTCTAGGTGATCCTACAACTGGAAAGTCTGCTGTTAGTAAGGATTGGGTAGTTGGAATGCTAAATAGGCCTGTATCTGGACTTAATATTGCTAGTGATATCGATATGAAGGACCATGAGATTAAGAATCTTAAGGATCCCTCTGAGGACCAGTCTGCTGTCACAAAAAAGTGGGCTGTTGATAATAACTTTAGACTAAAAGATGGAATTATGCAAGCAGATGTGTCCATGGGAGGTTGGAGATTGTTTGATCTTATTGAGCCTAAAATAAATAGTGAAGCTGTATCTAAAGGTTGGGTTGAGAGTAAGCTGGCAACGTTTGATAAGACTTCTGGTTTTACAATGACAGATAACATTGATATGGGTGGAAATGAAATTAAAAATATAGGTGACCCTAGTTCGAGTACATCAGCTGTTAGTAAAAGGTGGGTTACATCAGGATTCACTCTAAATGGTGATCTAACCGTTGCAAATGGTAATTCAATCTATACGACCAACAACCTTGGTGCAAAAATAGCTATTCCCAATAATCAAACTGTGGTTAACCAAATTTCACGCTTTGCCTTGAAATTGGACGGTTCAAATGAAATGACTGGTGTTCTCAAGATGGGTGGAAATGAAATTGAAAATATTGGGGCTCCTAGTGCTGATACATCTGCTGTTTCCAAAAAATGGGTGGAAGATAAGATTACTGGTGGTCGTAAAAGGCGTGAAACTTACAGTGGACTTAATCTGTCTGATAATCTTGATATGGGAAACAATGAGATTATAAAGTTAGGTGCTCCTACAACTGATAATTCTGCTGTGTCTAAAAAATGGGTCACGGATCATGTCAGTGGGAGTTCTGTAAGTAGTAGTGGCTTTACTATGGGCGGTAATATTGATATGGGAGGAAACGAAATTGAAAATGTTGGGGATCCTACTAGTGATCAATCTGTGGTTACAAAAAGCTGGTTTAATTTAAATGAAGGAACATTTCTACGGTTAGACGGAACAGGATCTTTAAATGTTGGTGGCACTATTAATTTTAGCAATGCACCTAACTGTAACTCCGACCCTGGAAACTCAAATAGTCTTGTAAGGTTGCAGTATCTTAAAACGTACACAACAAACTTATTAAAACTTAGCGGTTCGCGAGCAATGACAGGTGGTCTTAGAATGGGTGGAAATGAAATAATAAATATTGGTGCTCCTACAACTGATAATTCTGCCGTGTCTAAGAAATGGGTCACGGATCATGTCAGTGGAAGTTCTTTAGGTAGTAGTGGCTTTACTATGAGCGGTAATATTGACATGGCTGGTAATACTATTACGGGGCTAAATAGTGGGTCAACAGGAAGTTCTAGTGCTGTTTCTTACGGTTCCATGACTTCATGGAGCTCACAGTTTCTAAAACGTGATGGTGGTGTTCTAGCTAGCAATTTAGATGTTAACGATTATGAGTTAACTAGGGTTGGAACTCCCACAACGGACGGTTCAGCTGTTAATAAGAAGTGGGCAACTGATGAGTTCATGAGTAGTAGAGGTGGATTGGTAAAAGGTGACTTAGATATGGGAGATTCAAGTGGAATTCTTGATCTAAAGGATCCTGTAAATGATAAGGATGCTGTTAACAAGCAGTGGGTAGAAAAGAATTTCCTAAAACCTTCAACTGGCCTTACTCAAGCAACGGCTGACTTAAGATATGTAAGAATACGGCGACATATACATGCAGAATGGATTTGGGGTTATCGTGGTGTTTCAGTTGCAGCAACAAGGTACTACGCTTACTGTCACGATCAAATTCCACCTTCATGGAGAACTGATCCTATTAATAATATGGCAGACCTGAACCTTGAATCAATAACTATAAAAACAGACTACCCACGTTTTTCAACTATTCAAAATATACCTATAGGACTCATTCTATGGGCTACCGTTTGGGAAAAGCAATCTAATGGAAAATTTGCTAAGGTTAAGAAAGAGATTGTTCTTGCCACGGTTGACTTAAGAAGACTGTCACACACCTGGTTTAATGGAACTTACACAACTACCGGTGGAAGTACAGCTTGCTACGTTTTCAAGGGTAATAGTATGTTCTATTTAGGAGCCCAGGCTGAGCTGGTAGATAATACGCTAGCCTGGTGTATTATAGTTAAACCTGAACACTCAATGCCCACTGGGTCTAGCATGGATATGTCCTTTTGCTGGTCACTCCGATATTCAGGGTCAGGTAGTTAACATGTGGTTTATCATAAGATAAGATGTCAAGGTGGAGGTCATGCTTCTCCTGCTTAGGTAAGATTTGTGGTTGTCGTAAGAGTTCTAGTAGAACTGGGAAGTCTGGTGATATAAATTTCTCTGTATCAAATAATATTAACATTGGAGTGAGCACACAGAATAAAAAGAATGATTTAGACTTTAGACCAAAATCTGAAAGTTACGGTCACCTAAGAATGCTTGAGGAAAAGTCAGATGTTAAATAGAGAATTTAATAGGAATAAAATAAATGATCTAAAAGTGGTCTAGAAAAATGATGGTAAAAAAAAAGATCAGATAAAATGGTCTAGAAAAATGAGGGTAAAAAAGACCAAGAAAAAATGGTCTAGAAAAATATGAGCCCGCGGTGGTGGGGGAAAATATGGAAACCGCTGACCGGAAGTTGGGTGAGATCGCGGGCCGAAAAAGTGGTCTAGAACCCTCATTCCCTATACTACTACAAGGAAACTTATCCTCATCTGGTAAGTAGTCAGATACCACATATTTATTATTTTATTATATATTTATACAGTAAAACAATCATTGTGTTGTGTAATATTCTAAACAGTCAAAACATAGCATGCAATATATTTGAGTAGTAATATAGAGGCCATTCGACCCAGATTTTTGGGGGGGCGCATCATCATTAGCATACGTCATAATTACATGCAATGACGTCACGCGGGCAGGATCAGGCAAACAATGACGTCACACGGGCAGGTTTAAACAAGGATGTGAGTAGTAATATAGAGGCCGTTCGACCCGGATTTTTGGGGCGGTGCATCATCATTAGCATGCGTCATAATTACATGCAATGACGTCATGCGGGTAGGATCAGGCAAGTAATGACGTCACACGGGCGAGCTTAGACACGATCGGGCGAAACTTGCTGACTACGCATTTTTTAGCATCCCCCACGTGTATGATACAATTGAGGGATTAATGTTGGTTTGCTATGAATAGCTCGAGTTCCTCACATGGCAAAATTGTTTTTGAAATTAATATATAGCAGAGTTATAGCCGTATCTTTGCTCGAAAGAGATAAATTTCCACGAGCTGTATATTGAAGGATTTTTCGTATGTTTACAAAATTATAGAGAGGAATCTATTCCTCACAAAAATCAAGACATATTTTAAACCGAACTAAACAGTTGCTAACCCCGGGTAGTCAACGTCGTTGTTAAGGTCAATATTATTAATATATAGCAGAGTTATAGCCGTATCTTTGCTCGGAAGAGATAAATTTCCACGAGTATATTGAAGGATTTTTCGTATGTTTACAAAATTATAGAGAGGAATCTATTCGTCAGAAAAATAAAGACATATTTTAAACAGAACTAAACAGTTGCTAATCCCGGATTGTCAATGTCGTTGTTAAGGTCAATATTTGCATGTTGTTCAACGTTATTTAGCAAATCTTCTACATACATATATAATGTTAAGATGACCGAGTCAGATCATAAGTAAGCTTATGAAGAATATAAGTTAGAATTGGAACAGTTGTAATATATTTTGCGATAAAAACAAGTAGTCGTTATATACGTTGTTATGTGTTGCTAAGTCATTAGCGACGCTTGAGTGCATGTATATATTAACGTACAACATATTTGTACACTAATCAGGCGGGTGGTTTGCGCAGGCGGAAAAGCGGGCTTTGCAGGCAAAAGTTTGCATAAGATTTCAGGGTTTTTTTTTTAATTCACTTATTGCTATCTTGAGTTATATAAACACATGCACATGGAAGTTAAAGGTTATGATATATAATTGTCAAGCGATTTCTATATTTTAGTGCTAGCTTTTTAAAGTACTAAAACTCGGATAAGGTTAATAAATTTAAGCTATATTAAAGCACACCTGTTGCTATGTGTTGTCAGGATGAAACTAATTAAAGGATTAATTTTTATCACAGATTTGCATTTTCTAATGTGGATAAATACGGATAGATTAGGATATTCATTGCGTGGGCGTCGCAGGTTATCCGTGCAGATTGGAAACACAACAATAAGGAGGCTTATATTGGAAGAGAGAAAGCAGTTTAGACAGGCGAGGAGGGTTTTATACCAGAAGTTTACACAAAAATTCAGTCTTAAAATACATTTATTTCTTCAAGACGTTTACAAAGTTAATGTGGTCTACTTCTTAGAGCATAATGTGTTTGATTGTATATAAATTGCGCACAACAATTTAAATGTTTTTGTAATAAGAGTCGTTTGGCTTAATTGTTTATTTGTCATGGTTTCTATACTTCTGTAGCCCTACATCGACCCTACATCACAGCTTAAGGCTCCGAGCCTAAGGAGCTCGGCTCCGAGCCTAAGGAGCTCGGCTCCGAGCCTAAAGAGCTGGCTCTGAGCCTAAAGAGCTCGCCTCCGAGCCTAAAGAGCTCGGCTCCGAGCCTAAGGAACTGGCTCCGAGCCTAAGGAACTGGCTCCGAGCCTAAGGAGCTCGGCTCCGAGCCTAAGGAGCTGATCAGTATCTTAGGATATCATTTTCTTAGGATATCAGTATCTTAGGATATCAATATCTTAGGATATCAATATCTTAGGATATCAATATCTTAGGATATCAGTATCTTAGGATACCAATATCTTAGAATATCAGGATCTTAGGATATCAGTATGTTAGGATATCAGTATCTTAGGATATCAATATCTTAGGATACCAATCTTACCTTCCAATCTTACCTTCTTACCTTCCTTGAAAAAACTGATTCATCAATACCGCCTTGATTTTTCAGTCGCTTTACAACAACAGTATCCCCTAGGTAATCTGCTTTGTAGGCTGTTCCAAACGAACCACTTCCAATTTCATTTGGATTGTTGAGCTCATTCCAAAAAAAACTGTCTAACACCTTCAATCGTTCTACGCTTAACTTGCTTTCTCCGTATTGATACCGGTAACTTAAAGCAAGCCATTGCTTACTGCCAAGTTTTTCAGATCTATAGAACATAATTTTTATGCAACTACACAAAACGGAACACAACACAACTTGGTAATAATCATAAAAAATTTGCTCATTTGGTCACCTCGCATAGGCTAAATATTTGTATTGCAGGTACAGATGATACCTCATGATAATGAGACGTCATGATTTATGTTAAATGATAATGAATGATCATGATTTATTTTAATCCAAAAGCCTGTTCAAGGTTTCTATAAAACTCCTAGCCCAAATGTTTTATGTAAATAATGGTATATCACATAGGCAAATCATTAAATAAATAAAGAAATAAAAAAGTGGTATTACATGTGATTAACTCAATTCGTAATATACAGTATTACAGATCAACCACAGTGTATGTGAAGCGTTCCTCTTTTGAGTTCCTACCTCATTTGGAATTTTCCTGATAGTACATTTGCAAATTTTGAAAACTCTACAGAGTGTCCCCCCCCAAAAAAACCGCAGAACCATTGAAATAACGTATTGTTAAAATTTGAATGCCCTAGCACTAAGCTGAACGCAAAGATGCGTAAAATATTGACAAGGGTGCATATATTAAATATTGACTTATTAAGAAATTAAAATATCTTTGTAAAGCACACAATTTTCTGCTGTTGGGAATTTAAAGCAGCTTCTTAAACGGTTTCTTTATGCATAAAATTCACTTATGTCAAGCTCTGATCACGTGTGGGTTCAGCAGAGTGCTGAGGCATTCAAACTCTAACAATACATTATTTCAATAGTTTTCGTTTTTTGGGACACTGTATAGTATGCAAATCCCTTAAGGGAATTTGCAATGTTAATATCGGCTATTGCACAATTCCAATGCAGGAAAACCTTGTTTAAAGGATTAGTGTCACACCAGGAGTTCGCGGGCTCAAACTCCTGCTGGCGGCCATTTTTTGGGACGAAATCTGGAAAGTGTTTACGAAATCTGGAAAGTGTTTACAATCCATCATATATTTGAACCATCCTTTTATAATCCTTGCTCTTTTTGTCTGATTTTTATCAGAAATGTACCAAACAAGGTATTTTTATCGCTATCTGTTGTATTTCAGTAAAATGTAAACAATAACAAAAGCCCGCAATGCATGACCCTGACACTAATCCTTTAAAATTTTCCTATTAAACTTCCTGTTTTAAATTCCTGTTCTGTTATGAGCATTGCTATTGGTGGATTATTTGTGTTACAGGGCTGCCAACCCTGGAAGTTTTCAAATCTGGAGAATTGATATGATTTTTTGGCGACGTCCCCCCCCCCCGTCGCCAAAACAATTTCGGTCAGTGTACCATTTTAGGGGTCAAAAATTTTTCCGGACATACAAATATTAACTATAAATTGCCTGAATCGCATGATTTTCCTACAAAAAGCATCGTTGGAAATGTGATTTATCGCGTACTATTTTAAAACTAAATGGGCACTTCTGCCCCCCCCTAGCAAAAGGCAGGGGGGGCAGCCGCCCCCCTGCCCCCCCAGTTCCGGCATCCCTGAACACAAATAACTGTTGATTTCAAGTTTCACAATATTATGTACTAGTTTAATAAAATATCGACATCTTTAATGGCGTCAATACGGGTTAATAAATCCCTGTAAGATGAAGTGTTTACGGAAAATGGCGCCATTCAACCGCTGATTAAAAGCAACGCAGCCAGCAACGAAAGAATTTTATTTTTAGCAGCAAAACGAATGTGCAACGCAGATAAATTTTATTGTTAAAACCTTTGACAACGAAGAATCAAATGGCTAGTGCATAAATCGACGTTGGTGATTATCCTAATCCGGGAGAATTAAGACAAAATCTGGAGACTGGGAGATTAGGTCCAAAATCTTGAGACTCCCGGATAATCCGGGAGAGTTGGCAGCCCTGGTGTTAGGCAATTGCAACGTGCAGAACAGA